TAATCACTCCTCTCAAATTACTATAGCAAATTAGCCCTTAACCTGCCTTTTTTTTTTTCTCCCTAAATAATACCGTTTGCTCTACGTAAACCTAACCCTTAAAAACTCTTCATGTTTATTTTTACCTATCACAATTTTTATATATTATAATTACAATAAAAGAAATATTATTAGTATAAAAAATTAAAAAACACAATTATTAGTTTTATAAATTTTATCTTAGCTCTTTCTTTTTGTAAAAAAAAAATTAATTTATGATATTTAGTAGGGGTTAAACGAGTACAAACCTTTTATGAGTCACAATTACAAGTAAATAATAGCGAAGAGATTTTTTATAATTTCAACATCAACAAAGAAAAATTTTTTGACATGTGGGAGTTACCCGTATCCACAATTTCCTATGCCATAATTATCTAGGGGAAAATGATACTATCCATAGGGAGAATTATCTGAAAATCTAGAAGATACTGTGATTGGTTTAATATTTGACTTTAAAATAAAAGCATATTGAGTCTTGGGTTCCTACCAAGACTAAGAAAAATATTATGCCTAAGATTAATAATCTCAGGCATAATTCCGATCACGTTTGACTTATGAGAATCAAGCAAATCGTGTTGAGAACATATCTTTGAATTTTTCTAACATTGTTTATTTGAATTTTTCTAACATTGTTTTATGTGTAAAGTGAAAACAATTTCAAAGGATTATGTGTGATAGTCTTACTCAATATTTATGGATAGAGTGCTTTATAAATACAATTAAAATTAGTTGGATAAAAAATTTGAATACTTATGTTATAAAAAAAATTAGAAAGACTAAAAATTAAATTTGGAAACTCTTTTCATAGTAAGTGTGAAAATGAAAATCTAAGAAAATGTAGTGGTAATATTTTAAGATAAAAAAGGAGCCTAATATTATGTTGGATTTTTTTAACCTACATCATAGGATACAGGTTAAGAATGCATTACCCTTTTTTTTTTTTGTATAAACATTTTTAATATGTACCTTTAGTATGTTCTCTTATGATACATATTAAAT